TTTGCTTCCTAATATGATTTGATAGCTTATTAGTAACCTTGACTATCATTAAGTATTGTATCTTTTTATTCCTGATGAATGTATTTTATTCTCCTTATGCACACTGAAAGCATATACACCAACGACAAATTCCTTGTGTGTCCAATCACACTTGACCAATAAAGAATTCTATTCTATTCCATATAAAAAAAAGAATTATATTCTAAAAGGAAAACAGAATCCCGAAAAGCAGCACCAGTAAAATAAAGCCTATCAGCTACTAGCGGGCCCACCAGAGGGTTTCTACTTAACTGGCAAGCAAAGGTTTCTGTCGTTCTCAGCAAACTCAGATTCTTTCCCTCTTCAGAAAAGTTTCAGCCCGGGAGGACTTCGTTCTGGGCTCCTGCCTCGGTAGCCCATCAGTCTCGCCTGCCCGGGTTCTTACCTGCGCTGGACGGCCTCACGGCGAGGGTGGTGGGTCGGCTGGGCAGGCAGTGCAGTAGAGAGTTGTCGAAGGGACTTCCCCAGCCTGGCGGACTGAACTGGGCGCCCACGTAGGGGTTATAGTAGGATCCGTTCAGCGGCCGGAATTGCTCCCGCGGACTGTAGGCTGCCGGTTCCCGGGGGGCGCCGTTGGAAGCCGGGGGGCTGCCAGCTGGGTAAGAGAAACGGCCCGAGGCTGGATGGGCGCATCCCCCAGCACTGGCGCCGTAGGAAGAGGACGGGCTTTCCGGAGCGCCCTGAGAGGGCCAAGCTGACGATCCCCCAGCCTGTCCCACGCCCGGGGGATTCTGGAGGTAGGGCAGCATGGACCCCACGCGGGTGGTGGGCACGTAGACTGGAGATCCGGCCGTGGAAGGCACGAAGCCGCCTCCGCCGCTGCCCGGAGACGCTCCGTCATAGGTGCTGGCCTGTAGGCTCTGGGAGTGAGGATGGGCATGCGGGTGGTGGTACATGTCCTCGACGATCGGCGGCGGAGGCGCGGGATCCGGGCTCAGCTTGGTCGAGGAGCGGCTTGACCAGATCAGTTTGTTGGCCTGATCCAGGTCCGCGAAAAGGAGCAAGTCCTCCCAGCTGGGCAGGCTCGAGGGTGCCGCCGCCGCCGCCAGAGACACAAAAGGCCCCAGCAAGGCTCGGCCTTCGGCCAGGCCTATCTGGGGCGAGGTCGAGAGGGCGCCTCCGGGCTCCTGCTTGAAGCTCCTGGCGTTGTGCGGGCGCCCGCTCCCGCTGGGGGAGCAGCCCGAGGACGAAGACGGCGAAGGCGAAGGGCCCAGCAGTTCCCGGGGTGCCAACGGACAGGGCGAGTCGTCGGGACCGCAGCGCTTCAGCAGGCACCAGCCGCCCGCGGCCAGGGCCATCCAGCCCTGCGGCGCTGAGCAAGCTTTCCGCCGTTTGGCTTCCGCGGCTCGGTCAAGACAAGCCTCTGCGAGGGGAGAGAAGGAGGGGGAAGGAAAGACAAGTTAGCCCGATCCAGCAGCCAGACCAAGCCTCCTTTTCCACCGACACTCCCCTCCCCTCTGCCCAACCTTCTATCTGGTCACCAACAGGGTCTCTGAGCATGTGTGGAAGGCTTTGCTTCACGATTCGGATCGGTAAACAATTTCCAGACCGCTCTAATAAAGCAGCTGGAGGGGACAAGACGCTTAAGGTCCCTTTGGCCTTCGCCCAAACGCCCTTAAGCGTTTCATTCATATACCTCGATAACATCTCACAGCCCAGCTTGCTTTTTAAGGGCATCGCTGGATCCTTTCCTGCCTCCTTTTGGGGGGGGGGGGATAAGGAGAGTTCCGTTGATGCTGGCCTCTAAAACGCCGGTCCCGACCCTTTTCTTCCCCTGGGGAACCCCGAAGGGTTTCCTCAACCTTGGCTTTCCCGTCTGGAAAACGGAGGCGGTCTATTCTTTGGGAGCAACTCCGGCCCCAAACCCCGAACACCCCATCGATCAGGAAAACGCGGCGCCTCAGCCTGGCTAAAAAATCTCCAGCTAGCCCTGGCTTTGTCCCACCTCTGGATCTTCCAAGGAGCAGGAATTTCCCCCAGAACAGCCTCAATCTGGCTCCGAACAGGCACTCCCTCCTTTGACGTAGTTTACAGAGCGAATGAGTGACACGGGGGGGTGGGGGGGTGGCGTTGGGGCTTGGAGCGCCTCCGGTAAGACAAAACCCGCAGGCAGCCCTCCCCGCTCTCTGGCTGGGCTCTTTTCGGTTTCAGCTAATGACTCACTGGAGTTCGTTCCAGAATGAAAACAATTAGCCAGGCAAAATAAGGAGGAGGCGTTTCAGAGTTTCCGCCGGAGGGGGTCGAAATGTAGCCCCCCTCGCCCCCTCAGGTAGAGAGGGATCTTTTCGGCGGAGGAGACGCCACGCTTAGAGTGGGAGCAGCGATCCGGGACTGGTTCGGCCCTCCCCAAACTGCCGCTCTCCCTTTGGATCAGAAGTGGGGAGGCCCCTGGTGCCAGTCTGTTCCACGTTTCCTTCGCTCGCTCTCGCTCTCCCTGCCTCCAGATTGACCGGGTCAGCTCCAAACCCCGCCGCGCTCCGGCCGGCACACCTTAGTAATGGCAGCCGTCCATAATCAACACAGCGCCCGCCCCGCTCCTCGTCCCCGCCGCCTTGACTTGCCTTGCCCTGACCCAGCCCAGCCCTACCCGGAGACCTCGCCGAGAGATCGGCCGCGTCTTGCAACGCGGTGCATCTCCTTGCGCGATCGCCGCTTTTTCCTGGCGTGATCCGAACCGGGGGAGGGGGAAGGAACATCGGCCGCGGCGCCGGCTCCCTTTGGCAAAGGCCCGCGTCAGCCGGGGGTTGCACCCCAGAGCCTCTCCCCCCTTTTCCCCCCGCCCTTCCCGGCGCCTAATTTCCACCGGCGGGAGCTCCCCTCCGCGTCTCGCGACTCCTATCAGAGCCGAGATAAGAGCCCGGAGATAAGGAGTCCTGGCGGAGTGAGGAGACGGTTGTGTCCCCTTCACCCACCCCGGGAAGAAGACGGTCCGCTTCGCCTGCGCTCTCGTGACCCGGCGCCACTCACCTCTTGGGCCCTCGAGGCTCTGGAGGCTCCTCTTTCCCGCGGCTGCGACGGACTGCGAGCGGCCAAGGCAGAGTGGGGACCGGAGCGGCGCCTGACAGGCAGCGAGCGAGCGAGCGAGGCACCTCCTCCAACAGCCGCGCCGGAAAAGTGCAGCCGGCCAGCCTGATTGGCTCGTGAGGACCCTAAACAAACAGCCGCGCGCGAGGGAGAGAGGCGCGCCGTGTCAGGCGCCAGCGGACTTTCGGCGGGGATGCCAATCCCAGTGTCAGGCCCTCCCCGCGAAGGCCAGCCCGGCCCTGGGAGGAGAGGCAGTGCCCAGGCCCCAAAGGGGGGGGGGGAGCCACCAAAGCCTACGCGCGCCAAGCCAGGAAAGGGAGGGCGCTGGAAGCGAAATTCTCCTACAGGCAACTGAAAGGAGATTCCTCCCCCTGTTTTTCCCCCATTGGGGGGGGGGGGGAATCATTCTTTTTTTTAAATGAGAAAACGGTCTTTCTGTTTGGGTTTTATTTCATAGCTTTAATTTACCCTATTTTTATTTCCCCTTCCCCTGTTCCTGCGCGAGTTTTCCTTATAAAATAAAAACGGAGGTTTCCTCTGCTCCGTTAATGGGTCAGTCAGCGAATCCCTCATTTCTTCGTTGGGACTTTTTCCAAACATTTTGTTCCACCAACCCTCCCCACACCTGCTTCTCTGTTGGTGCTTTTCGATCCGGCTCCAATTATTCCCAGACTGCAGGGTGTAATACCGGAAAGGCGGCCGAAAGGGGAGCAGGGGGTCCTTTCCCGGGAAATGGAGGAGCCCTCCTCTTTTGAAAGTTACCAGACTTGGAAGGTGAACGGTCGTTCAGATTTGTGCGTTTCGAAAGGGGATCGCAGCTGCAAGGATCCCAGTCCAGTCACCGCTTCGGCGGCCTGGCAGCCTTCCGGTTCCTTGCCTATGTGTCTCCCTCGTTGGCTTTTCCCTCTTATCTTAACGGGCACCCAAACTGATGCAGTGCTGGTCAGGAAAGTGACTGGAAATTAAAAGAACTTATTCCCTCTGAGTCGAACTGAGCCATTTGTGTCCAGTGTCGGCCGGTTTTTCCGACCCGCCGCAAACCCGAATTTCGGCGAGCGCGAGTTTTGGGCGAGAGACGAAATAGGAGAAGCTCTCCAGGTGAGTGGACACCATCTTCGCTCGCTCTCGTGCCGAGTCTGTTTCGGCTAACCAGCTAATAAAAGTTTAGAAATGGAAGGGATGCCATATGAAAACTGGACTGCTACTTTGGGTATACAGCTTTTTGAAAAGGTTAAAGTGCGCGATTGTTACATTACTGCTTCGCTGAAAGAAATTCTTGCCTTTGAAAACGAGTCGCACAAAAGTCTAAAGTAGACTTTACGGAAGGGCCATAGGATGGCGGTCTTTGGGACAAAAAGCACAGACACTTCCATTCCGATTGGACTCAGAAAAATACATTTTCGAAACCAAGGCTGGCAGCAACTTTATTGGCACGAAACCAAGCAGGCAGGAAACAGGGGGCGCGTTTTTCTTAATTTATAGCCCAAACAAAACGCTACAAAAACAGAGAAACTTTAGAAACTGCTGGAATTTACACCTGGTTTAAGGATTCGTATGCCAAAACTGTATAATATTTCAAAATAATATCTCTCCCCTCAACCCCACCACCGCGTCTCCTAAGACCACCCTGCCAAGCAGCAGCCAAAGAAAGAAATGGAAGCTGAGTCTGCAAAATAGAGCAGCCGCAGGGGCTCCTCTCCGTGCCATCCTGTCCCTACCTCGGAAGTAGTTGCTAAAACATTGGGCAAGGAGACAGGGTTCAAGTCTATCTATAGTTCTGGAAGTTCAATGGGTGATTAGGGCAAGTCACACTTTCTGTTACACGAACTGAGCCTACCTCACTGGGTTGTGGGCATAAAACTTATAATTCTTTCCCTAAATTTCCTTAACTTCTGGGAGAAATGTAGGATGCTACATATATTTAGGGAAGAAATAGAAACAAACAATTCCCCACCTTTAAAAATCATTATTGCAATTAACACCCCCTTTCAGGTTCTTGAGGCTGCGTCCCCAGTATGCTGCTCATTCATGGGATTGGTCCACTCTCGCGCTCTGATGGATGGTGTTCCTTGTATTTTCCACTTTGAAGAAGAAGGAAGGA